AAATCTACTCTGCATTCACCAAAGTATCACACTGCTAGCCTGTTTCAAGCTATGTGCCATCACGAAAACAGTCAATCAAGCATAACATAACATAACCAAATTAAAAGAACTATCTGAACCTTTCTGATCGCACGTTTCGATTGATTGCTCAAGATAAGCTTCAAAATATACTAACATAATATACTCCATTCATTCAGTGACTCTTACAAATAGTCTAAAATAGCTGGAACTGTTCATAGAAATTGCACAAAACTTCATCGTTCGCTTACAATACGTGTATGATCCCTGTTCATTTCCTCTCTATTCTTCAATTTCTTTGAACAACGCTATCGAAATCTAGCAAAGATTTTGGATCGATGCGGAATCAAACGCGCTGCCTCGAAGTTGTTTGAATTCTCAAAGCAAAGCATGACCCCGATGCACTAGCGGTCCATCGCACGATCATTTCAAATCTATTTATTACTCTTCTCTCAATTCACATCATCTATTTATGCCGACTTTTCGTGATAGATGTGAAAAAGTCAAATGAAATCGATATGGTAGCTTATTAGAGCTAACAAAAATGGTAATATCATGAATCAAATTCACGAATGAATTTGCACAGTACTCACCGAATGCTTCGCCTTTTCTACCTGGCATACCTGGTAGTCCACTTGGGCCTATAATGTAACAATGTTATGAAATTTTATTACACATATTTCGAGTAGAATTTTCAGTTTTAAAAGATTATTTATGTGAGCAAAAACACGTACACAACTGCAATGAGCTTCTGCTCTGAAAAGAAAAAGTTGCAGAAAAGTTTTGCAAACTAAAAAATTCAAAGTGATCAATTCGATCAATGAACAAATGCTCATTATCAGATTCTATGCAATTAGTTGCAATTCGTGAACAAAGAGTGGATGGATAGCAGTACCGGGCATTCCGGGCATTCCTTGACGGCCGGGCGTACCTATAGGACATACTGGACCTTGAAGGCAATTCTGGCATCTTTCTGAATAGAAATATTATCATACTTATACACTTTAATCAAACTCCTGATACCAAGAAATACACATCATATCGACGAAAGCACTCAATCATTTCTCCGTATTCCTTTTCAGTTGATTTTTTCGAAGTATTGAAATTCACTGGTATATTCAAATGATATCGCTCGTCACGTATAATAAAAACACAAATATATGGTCACAAACCAGCACGTACTACTCGTAAATTGTCCTCAAACATTCGCAATTGTTCGGCCGTTTTATCGAGACGCTGAAACTCACTGCTCAGTTTGATTTGAAAAGTTCCATAAATTTTTCAGTTTGAACTTGTTGTCTCCCTCTAAACCAATTATTCCAGATTAATTTAGGTGAAACAGATTGAAAATTTGGATGATTTTTTATGTAAAGGAACGGTAGAACTGTAATTGCACACAACTAACTTGTTCAATATTGTTGACACGAGCAGTCAGCGAATTCAACGTTAGCTCCATCATAAAACTGCGATCATCACCTTCTACTATTCCAGCGATTATGAATAAGCCCAGCAAAGTTGCGAAAACCGATACTGCCATATCTACCTCTAATAAAACGTTTTCATTGCAAAAGCTGTGAAAACTAAACGAGTACAGTAAAATATCAATCACAAGCCATAGGCTTGCTGCAGTCTCCACAGTTTTTAAAAACGACAACACAAACA